ATATTCCATTGTATCTGTATACCACATTGTGTTTATCTGTTGATGGGCACTTGAGATTTTCCCACCTTTTGGCTATTGTGAATAGTGCTGCCGTGAACATTGGTGTACAGGTATCTGTTTGAGTCTTTGTTTTCACCTGTCTTGTGTACATATATACCCAGGTGTGGAATTCCTATGTAGTCTTATAGTAATTCTATGTTTAGCTTTTTGAGGCACCTCCAAACTCTTTTCTGCAAGGACTGTATCATTTTACATTCCCACCAGCACTTTCTCTACATCCTTGCCAACACTTGTGATTTCCCATTTTTCTCATTCCAGCCATCCTAGCAGGTGTGAAGTAGTATGTCTGCTTTTAAAACATTTAACCTCTGAGGTGACTGCAAACTAAGCATTTTACTTTGTAACACAGGTATAGTCTCCTTAAGCTGTATTGTACTTATTTGGTAAAAATTATTATTAATGAGGACAATTTTGGAACACTTAATCCCCAGCAGGTAGACAAATAATTATTCAGTGGCTTCTACTGCAGATTACTAAGCTGTGTCTTTTAGGGGGTGTAACAATGAGTAGAATTAGTTGTTGCCCTTAGGCAAGTAAAAGCAGGTGGGATATAATACGACATGGACATAAACCCTATAAAAGAAGAAGTACATATGTGCCTCCCCAGATGTACAAAGGATTGGAGGTACTCTCAATAGGGAAAGCCATGGCTAGTTCAGGCACAAAAGAGCGGACAGAGCATTATTTGAGAGAGTGCTTAAAGGGTGCGTGATTTCAACATGGTGAAACTAGAGCGTCAATTCAAGGGCTTACAGAAGGGATATCTGACCCATCTGTGGGCAGGAGGGTTAGTAGAGGGTTTCCAGAAATTTCAAACTGAAAATGTTAGGCTTAGAGGTCCATACTTTTTTAAAAACTCAAAACAAGAATTTAAAAAATATATATTTAAAAAATTCATTTGTTTTTATTTTCCCAGCTTTTATAAAAGTTGAAATAATTTTGGCCTGACAGGGATCTTAATAAAAGCAGTTTCTTGAAATGGTATTCTGTATGTTTTAATGAAGACATATGTTTGGATTATTTAAATAAAGGGCCATTATTCTTTACTTCCCATATGATATAGTTTTTCTGTGTCATACACCACCACAGCATGTACTGTCTCTGAAGCTGCATTAAGGAGGCAGGACTCCTTGATGAAATCACATCTACATTCTGCAGATACTTAAAAATTAATTTATGTTAGTGTAACTCATTTATATACATTCCGATTTGATCTTTAGGAAGACTCTGAGGAGCACATAGGGTAACAAATATTCTTGTTTTATGGGAAGCAGACTTGAAGTTTTGAGTGGTAGCCAGCCAGCTGGAATTAGTAGAAACCAAATTTAGTGCCTTTTCTGTGATTTTCCTAGAACTAAGTATTATTTTAGGAGTAATGCAGTTCCCATAAGTAGAAAAGATAGTATTTAAGTTGCTTAATTTTTTTTTAATTCTCTAGACTATTCTGCATTTATGGAATTTTCCACTAGGTAATATGCATTCAGGTCACATACACAGTGAGATTTCCTAAAGTGACAGTACAGATAAAAAGGCTGTGCAACTTGGTGATAATTGTGCTCCATTTAAGCAAACCATCAACTGGTACATTTTTTTTTTTTTTTAAGATAAATTGTATTTTATCAAAATGGAAATCTTTTTTTTTTTTTTTTGATACTTTAAGTTCTGGGATACATGTGCAGAACATGCAGGTTTGTTACATGGGTATACCTGTGCCATGGTGGTTTGCTGCACCCATCAACCCATCATCTACATTAGGTATTTCTCCTAATGCGATCCCTCCCCTTGCCCCCCACTCCCAAGTTGTGTAATTTTTTAAAAAAATTATAGTACTTGGTGTCAAAATCTTCTCCCTGATATCAGCAGTGTGAATTATCAGTAGATACCATCTGAAACCCTGGAGGGAAGTAATAAGCTTTTAAAGATCCTGATGATTAGCCTGTCTTTCACGGGGCCCTGAAATCAAGAATCCACCCTTTTCACATGGATATAATGGATTTGATACAGTATTTGAGCATTGTGCACTGTATATATGTATGTGGTCTTTTCCCTCTAGGTGGCTCTCTGGGTCTGTATAGATACAAACTATTGAGAAATGTGGCTATTCCTACCTTTATTTTGCTTCTGTGTTCTGTGGGACTGTTAATTACATTTTAGTAAACTGTGAAGCCCGTGAACACATAGTATCAGCCACTCAATTTAGTGCAAGTTTGAAAAAGGAAATAATAAAGCAAATAATAATTAACATTTATTTATTACATGCTCACAAAGTTGGGGGAAGAGGGGAAGAGAGAGACAAGTGAATCTGTAATTGCATTGCTCTGATTGGGCCTAGTAAGTAAAGGTTGATAAGATTTCTATAATACACTTCATTTTCTAGGATCCAATCATTTGTACTCACTGTGAGATAAGTGTCTAGAACATAGGAGTAGTGATTTATCTGTATCTTTAATTTTCCATAGAAAACTTGGTTTTAAAAGGGAATAAAAATAATTACTTTTATACTTATGGTAGTGCTAAGGTACTAGGAAAAAGGAATCTTCGGATTTACCAGTATATGTATTTGTCAGTGCTCTCTTTTTATTCTTGACCATTTGACACTTTGATCAGTAGTAATGTGGCGTTTGCTTTTACCACTATATCAGAAGCACTCAGGGCTGTCTGGGTTATTTTTATCTTGTATCCTGATAGATTTTAATGCATTAACATGCTTTCTTGATAGCTTTTCTGATAGCTTTTCATGTGTTAACATGCTCTCTTCTCTTGGCATCAGTGAGAAGTATCTGTATCTGGTTCTTCCCATTCCTCTCCCAGTCATTCCTTCTTCTTGTGGATGCCTCTTAAATAGTGTCTTTTTAAAACAATTTCAATTTTTATTTCAGATTCAGGGGATACATGTGCAGGTTTGTTATAAGGGTATATTATGTGATGCTGAGGTTTGGGGAACAGTTGAGCCTGTCATCCAGGTAGTGAGCATAGTACCCAATTGGTAGTTTTTCAGCTCTTCTCCCCCTCCCACCCTCCCCTATGTTTATATCCCCGGTGTCTATCGTTGCCATCTTTATGGCCATGTGTACCCAGTGTTTAGCTCCCACTTATAAGTGAGAACATGTGATATTTGGTTTTCTGTTTCTGCATTAATTAGGTTGTGTACTTGATTTTATTCTCTTTCTACTCTGGGTTCTCCATAGACAGTTTCATAAATGCCAAGGTTTCAGCTATCATTTATATGTTGTTTTAGTCCCTTAGGGCTGCTATAACAAAAATACCATAGATTAGGTAGCTTAAACAACAGATAATGATTTCTCACAGTTCTCGAGGCTGGGAAGTCCAAGATAAGGCACTGATAAATTCAGTGTCTCGGAGGCGGGGGGCAACTTCCTGGTTCTTAGACAGTTTCTGTGTCCTTATGTGATGGAAGGTTGTCAGAGAGCTCTCTGGCATCTCTTAAAAAAAAAAAAAAAAATTTTTTTTTTAGAGACGTATATTGCCCAGATTAGAGTGGAAGTCTGGGACCATAGGTGTGTGCCACCACACTGGGCCTTGGGGTCTCTTTTATAAGGGCATTTATTCCATTAATGAAAACTTCACCTTCATGGCAAAATCACCCCCCAAAAGGCTTGCCTGCTAATACCATCATATTGATGGTTGGGATTTTAACATAAGAATTTGTGGAGGGAACATAAACATTCAGTCCATAACATATGCCACTGGTTTCCAAGTCCATGTCTTTAGCCCATTCCTCTCCCAAGCTTTGAACCAAACCTTTACCTGCCTGTTGTGGCAGGCCTAGAGTAGGTTGTCAATAACCTTGGAATGAATGAACAAATGTTTAGAACTTACCATCTGGAACGAATGAAAAAATGTTTAGAACTTATCTTCTCCATTCTCTCTTCTCCCCAAACCAGCTATCCTCTCTTTTCTCTCTTCTTGAAACTACTTCCCCAAATACAAGCTTGCTTTGAGAGTCTTTGACTCATTATCCTTTTTCTTACTCCACAGTTACCAATTCCTATCCAGGTTTGGAAAAAAGACTGACTTGGATGCATTGGCCCCTTCCCTAAGCCTGCTTTGATTGCATTTCAGTCAAGCTTCTAATTTAGATCCAGTCACAGTGCAGTGTAATTACCAGTATCTTTCTCTCCCCACTGTGTGAAGTTTGTGGGCATATAATTAATAAATGTTGGTTTGTTATTTCCTTCTTCAAATTTGTGTTAAAATAAGTGGCTGATGTTACGTATTGATGGACTCATAGTTTAATTATGCAGCTTTTAAAGCATATATTGATAGAAAAATTTTGAACCCTACTCCTGAAAATAAATTCCAAGATTTGAGTGATGAATCAGTATGGCGAAACAATTCCCAGAAGTGTTTCTTTGTGCATTCTTTAGGACTTGACCATACACAAAATGTTAAATTGTATACAGAGTGCATAGCAGCAATATGTTGAAGGACGTAAATAGTACTTGGTACATTAAATGATAAAATGATCTCATTTGATTATAACAGAGCCTGTGGTGTATATATAGCTAAAATGGATATAGATAAGGTAATGTTCTCTCTGAATAGTTTGGGGTAATAAATTAATGTATTGTTTCTTGTTACTATGTTTATACCATTTCATTGTAATGCTGTAATAATTTCACTTGACTAATTGGGTGCAGAGGAAAATACAACTTTTTGCAGTTAGCTAAGAAGTTCTTTATTTTTGGTTTGAATTAGCATAATTATCTCTTCAGCTTGGAGAAGAAAAGGAAAACCTGTTTTAAGAAAAATGTTTAAATACAATTATTGTGTGTCAGTTTGGTGGCTAATATTCTTGATCTTAGGAAACATGACCACAATCTAGTCTTTTTTGTTTGATTAATGTTGAGATTAAGAGCTGCTGGAAATGAATGTGTAGGTTGCTACTTACCTTCTCCCACTTTTTTGTGCCTCTGTAGGTACATGGACTATATCGCACAACAGGTGCGAGTTTTGAGAAGGCCCAACAAGAGTTTGCAACAGGTGTGATGTCCAACAAAACTGTCCAGACCGCAGCTGCAAATGCAGCTTCAACTGCAGCATCTAGTGCAGCTCAGAATGCTTTCAAGGGTAACCAAATTTAAGAATCTTCAAACAATACACTGTTACCTTTTGACTGTACTTTTTTCTCCAGTTACTGTATTCTACAAATATTTTTATGTTCGAAACACAGAGTACAGACAGCATGGATATTTCCTGTTCACTTGTGCATGGGCTAAAACCAGGAAAACTTCCTTGTCTTATTACTTTACCTAATAGTTTCTTAATATTTCAGTGCCCCTTGCAGAAAAAATATTACATGCTAAATAAATATTCTCCATATTTTTTGGGGGATGATGTTCAGTGAATTATTTCAGTGGTGACCCACTGAAAATTAATAATGGTACTTATGATTAAAAACACATTTAATACTAACTGCAGTAGTTCTTTCAAGAATCTTTAGAGATAAGGATTGCGCATTGGAAAAGTAAACTATGTTTCATTCCTTTTTCCCTATTTATATTGAAAGAAATAGGCCAGCAGAGACTTAGGGATTTTAAATTGGCTTGCTTTTTAGCTGTTTCAGTCACCAGTGAAGAGCCTATTTGCATTTTGTAGTAGATAATGTAGTATTTATCATCTTTTTCTTTTCTTTTTTTTTTTAGAGTAGCTGGTATTTTGATAACAATCTCTGATTTGCATGGGCACTACATTTCTTATATTAAGAGAATTAGTATTTTGGCTTCTGTACTGCTTGTGGTTGTAGGATTCAGGGGTTAATGGAATCACAGAAATGGTTTTCTGCAAGAGTTTCTTTTAAATAAAAAGTTTGGGGGTGCAATATAAGAATTTAATATAATATGCAGTACATTATCCAAAAGAGAAGGTAGTTAATGCAGTAGAAAGTAGTGGTAATAATTCCTTTAAAAAAAAAATTTCGGTAGTCATATAGTAACATTTTGCTATATGAAAACTTTGGTATATTCTGTGGTTACAACTAAGATTGTGTCTGGCAGCTCTTTTTGGGGGATGTGTGTGTGTGATTTTTAACAGAGGTATTAAAGGCTAGTCTAACTGTTGTCTAAAAAGAATGTACAGTATTTAAGGGATTTTCCTTTTAGCTTTTAATCTCCAGTGGCATTAAACCTAAAAAGACCCTGGCATTTTTTCATATACTTGAATCCCTAAATGCACCTGTCTTTCACTTTTTGAGACAGACTGAATATACCTAAAATTTCCAGCAATAGAAAAAAAAAAAGCATTTAACTTGCACCAAGCAAGAAAATATAAATACAGTTAAATGCATTAAGATAATCACATTAAAATTGTTACTATGCAGCACAGAACTTCGTTCTTATAGTATTCTTGGGTTCAAACTTGGAATCAATTTTAACACTGATTAAGTGACTCAAAGACATTTGTAAGTCATGCTACTGTGTTTTGAAAGTCTAGCTAATTTAAGATTGCAGAATGATAGATGGTGATTTTTCAATTAGATTTTAAGTAAGGATTGTGATATTAGAGGCTGGAAATCCTTATTTTTTAAAAAATCAGATAGGCATAAATAGTTAAATTGCTTTCATTCTCCCCAAACCTGGAGTTACAGAAAAAGTTTCATGCTAGAGGTGGGATGCCAAGTTCTCACTATCCATGAAGCAGCGCTGTGTGTTACTAGGTAACGCAGATCCATCCAGATGGTGTTTACATTTGATTTATTTGGGATCTTATTGACATCAGGTATACTTGGAAGACATTTCTTTTACTCTTCAGCATATGAATTTAAAGCTGTTTTTGTAAATATTTCGAATCAGCGATAATTTCTACCTACATTCTCAACCAACTTAGCCAGTTTGTTTTTTAGAGCTTGTAGTGTTATTGGAAATCTTTTTTATCAGTATGCTTTATTGAGTGTAGATTTTGCACACATTCAAAACATTAACCACAGAATACAGCAAGAGCCCCTATATTCACTATTAACTTACATCCCAAGTCCATTTTTTTCTACACACTACAAACAAAAGATATATTAGAAACTTTTGAAAAATGCTGAAATACTTTGCTTCAGAATTGGAATGTTTATATTACATAGAAATCCTCAAAGGTAGCATTATTAAATAGCAAAGAATAATTAGAACCCACATCTTTTTTTGTGTGGATGGAGAAAATGTTTTAAAATTCAGTTATTTAATACCAGTTTGAGAGAGAAAATTGTTTTTTAAAAATATACATATGCATTGAAATGATGGCAATGCTTATAGTATGATCAAGTATGAAAGGAGCTTTAAATTCTTATATTTACTTTTCTCTATCAGTAAATTGTTAAATTTTCACTCAGCAAAAGATTGGCATTTGTTAGTGTTTTATATTTAATACTAAAATCACAGTCATGAAATCATAGTCATAAATGGTCTTCACATAGTAGTCATCCGTGTTATTTTTCAGTTTGTAATATTAAATTATGGCAATTTTATTTCAAACTAAAGTTTGAACACTGGAAAATCATTACTCAGTGATTTGTAATTTGGGACTTGGATTATTTATCTAGAGATGTTTGTATATTTTGTCAGTAACTAATATTGCGCTGCCATCATGGTGACTGTCATGGTTCTACAGAAATGCCCTCCATGTGTCCCTCTAATGTTGCATGTTTCAGTGGGTTAGAAGTTTTGTATATTTATTGTATTAACACAGAGTGTCATAAAATAAAATGCTGTTTACTGGATGTTTGTTTGTATAATTTTGAACATTATAATAGCAATTCAGAGACAGACATTGTTAAAGGTTTGATGTATATAGAAATTCCATGTTTGATTTTTTAAAAATATGTGTATAAGTCTGTCATGTGCTAAACAAAGTAATATGAAAGACCTAGTTAAAAACTCTGAGCAACATAAAATGACCATTTTTCTGTTGCATTAGACCTTTACAGGTAGTGGAACAGGAGTTTCATCCATATTAAATAGTTTGGCCCCTTTAAGGTCAAAATACAGATCATCTAGAAGTTAGATTCAAAATGGAAAACCTATTCGTGGCTCAGATATTTCATTGTGGATTAAAAATGGGTGTCTCTGTACTAGTATTGTATTTATTCAATTGTATTCTGATTTCTAACTTTGCTACCTATTGCTGTTTTATGTACTGATGAAAGTACTTATTTGTGTATATTGGATTTTTCACTTGGTTAGCTAAAGAAGATGTAAAAATATCTAAAATAATGTTCATGGTGAATCTTCTTTTGAGAAATACATGTTAAAAAAGGAACGGTATTATTTTCTGGTTGTTGTATTTTAAAAAGCGAGTTTGGATTTTTACACCTAATTTACTTGGAAAATATTCTGTAATTCATGTTAAGATAATGTATGGTTTGCATTTTAAGGGGATTTATGTTAGGTTAATTAGTCGTTTCTGTAAATCATTTGTAATAGTGCTTTTTACTCATTACTGTATCTTTTTCTGAAAACACTGTTGTTAACATCTGATTCGGTACCCTTATTGGTACAAATCTGTGTTTAGCATGACTGTTTATATACAGAATTTTGTTATATTTTGAGCATTTTTTTCCCCTGCTTATGTATACCTTAGAATTACCATGGCTGTCATATACCATTTCACTATATCTCCTTTCAGTTTTTCCTTAAGGAAAATGTCCAGAGGAATTTGTTCATTTCATGTGATTAAGCCCTTTAGAGGTGAAAAAAGATTGGTTAATTTTAAAAAATTGAGGATGGTTAAAAAATAGAAAACACCTTACTTTGATACATTTTAAAGTACAATAGTATACATTTATTTAGAGTAGAATAATGTGTTTAAAACATGAGTTGTTTTAAATACTTTTTTATTAAGCTAAAAAGTTTTATCTCACATATTAAGTATTATAGAAAGTGAAGTATTTTGGCTAGAATTTTAGGGCACATTTTATAAAGCAGCATGCCTGTAATATTGGTGGGTATTTTTCAACTTTAGGACTTTGTCACAGTATGTAGAGAGCTAGAAATAAATCTAGAAACTTTCTAAGCCAGGTATTGCCACTAATCTATCTTATATAAGCAGATCTCTCTTACTTGAAGGTTGTAGGAAAATAGGGAAAAGACTGCTCTCCAGTTTTCTCACCCCAACCCCCCCCCCCGCCGTGGGTTTTATATTTGCAATTTAACTTTGGGGTTTGGGTAAGACATTTAATGTATATAATTTTGATTAGTACTGGCCAGGGAACATGGGAACTGTCATGTGGCAATGTAGTGAGTGTTAAACTTTGTGTTTGTCCAAATCCTGATTTATTTTCCAGTTCATATCTTTCTGGGCTTGACATGGCTGATGGTGTAGCTGAAACGCTCCTAACACTAAAAGCCATTTAATCTTTTCTCTAATAGGAGCAGAAAATAGTTAATCACCACCTAGTAATATAAAATTACTCTGAATATTATCTTCTATACATTAAAACAGTTCTATACCATACAAGTTTTATTTTTAATTTCTAGTTATTTTCAGTGCTTACTTAAATGTAATTCTAGAATTCCTCCACAACTTTTAATATTTTGTATGCCAGTGATTCTCAAGATAAATCATGGTTGTAGTAGTTGTTACTGTTGGCAGTTTGTCGTAATATTCAGGTATTTGGGGATGGGGGAAAACACCAAAAATCAGTGTCTTTTATCTGGTGATCACTTTGGTGTCTACAGTATTCTAGTCTCCTGCACAAAAACTGAACCCACTGGGCCTATGCATCCCTCACATTTTTTTTCTAGTATAAAAGCAATACATATGTGTTGTAGAACAATTAAAAATTCAGAAAGTGATAAATGCGAAAATAAAAATAAATCCTTAATTCTGTCATCTTGGGGTACCTCTGCTAATATTTTATTGTCTTCTAATCTTTTTCTATGCATATATATTTTGTAGAGTTAAGATATATAAGCAATATGGATTTTTAAAAACCTTATTTTCCCCTCACTTAGCTTTATGTCATAATGGCCTGATAGTTTAGTTTTTTAAATTAACCTAATTTATAAAATCAATATACATTTCAGTATAAATTATAGAAAATATTTATAAGCAAAAGAAATAACTAAAATTCTCATAATTTTACATCCATGAATAACTTCTATTAAAATCTGGTTTATATCTTTCTATTAATTTTTCTAGGAAGAAAACTTCCTAATATTAAAAATGAGATGACCCTGTACATCCTTGTACATCCTTTAGGGATATTTACCTAGTTCTCAAAAGCCACATTTCTTTGGGTCCTTAAAGTCCACACTGGTACTGGATGTCATCTGGCCATAGTGGACTCATTCCTGGCTCATCAGTTTTTTATTCTGAATGTAGATATGTCTAGAACGCTACTGTTGCAGACATATCTGTTGGATATGGAACATAAGAGGTAGCCATTTTCTGCCATGAGGAAGGAATCACCAAGAAAGCTGGTCTGCAATGAAAGTGAAGAATGAAATCGACATAACAGGAGATGTAAAATGAATGACATAGAAAAGATCTAGTGGCTTTCCTTTTCCTTTACAGAGCCCTACTGCTCACCCTTATCCCATTATCCTCATAATCTTACCGCTTTTTCTCCCTCAGCTATCTTGAATTGGTTTCTTATTACTTTTAACTGGAGGATCTTAACTAACACAACAGTTTATCTTATTTCAGTTATGATATAAATATGTATTGACAATTTTAATATCTCTGAATATATTTCTGTAACATTTAGTATAGCTATATGGCTACCATCCTATGTATGTATCATAAAGTCTTATTCCTTTAGGTTTTGATTTTCAGGGTTTTAAAGGTATAAATAATTTATCAAGGAATATATTGTTGCTAAATGTAGGGACTCGAGCTTTTGTTTTCTCTTTAGTACAGATTGCTGAGTTAAAGGGTATGTATAGTTTTTGAATCGCCTTTCATGTGCATTGCCAAGTTGCTCTCCAGAAAAATTTTATCCATATGTAACTCCATCAGCAATGTACAGAAAGGCCTCTTTCTTCACACCCTTGGCCAGCATTGGATGTTCCTTTTCTAAAAAGTCTTTTATCCCAATAGATTTTGACAAATCAGGAGGTTCCTTTTCTGAGCATTCTGGTTTCACATGGCTTATGGGCTCACCCAGTGCTACAGGTTTGTTTGTTTTTGTTTTTGCTAAATAGGAGTAACTGAGTACCCTGCACCCACCAAGAAATCTTCCACTTCCTGAAAGCTCTAAGGTAAAGATAATTAGCTGAATGCTCTGTTATAACAGGATGGAAAAAGAAATGGTGGCCTCAGGTAGCCAATCCACCAAGTCTCTCCAGGTAAAATTACATGGGTTTTGACAACAAGTTATGTTACCTTTCATAGATTGTAATTTTAAAATGATAATAGTCTGGGTGGACAGTATTTTCTTAGTTTTTTTCTAATAGTAACTTATTGTGGGCTTAATTGTATACCAGTGTTCTGTACTAAATGCTTTATATACATCACTTAATCTTCATACCAAATTTGTGATATAATTTCTGTTGTTGGCCTTGTTTTTGTAGAGTTCTAGGAAATTACCCTGAAGTCACTCAGTGAGTGGTGGTGGTGAGGGGCTGGAGAGGGATGATGAGAACAGGCAGGTCCCCTGACTCCTGCCAAGCGTGGCTGCCCCACCGTGCTGCCTCGTTCCAGTTGTCTTCCCTTTCATCCTTCCACATTTCCAGTCATTCATGTCCATCCTTTAGGGACAATGGATACTGGAAAAAAAAAATCAACAAAATTTTTACATGATTTTTGGATTCTCCAGACCAAATGCTAACACCTGCCACCTAAAGGTGAGTCCTATTGCCCATCCTTCAGCAGTGTAAATTTTCTAAAGGGTCTTTGGCATTTGTGAGTTTGGAGAAACTTCAGTTGAGGACAAATCCTTATTATTAGGTTAAATATGCTTCTTGTGTGATTATAATAGTTGCTTACTCTGAATGAGAGATTTTTGATACTAAGAAAACATAAAAACTGTCACAGCCTATCATTTACTTTCCTACTGTCATATACTGAATTTCTTGTGTCTGTTTTCAGGATTGAGCTAAATCCTGATTGATAAATTGAGACATATGTCATCTTCAGAATTATGAAAAATCACTAGGTGTTTTCTCTGAAAGGGAGGAAGAAGCAGTGTTTTCATCAGTTGTGATGGTGAGGCCCTTTTGGAGTTTTATTTGGAAGTTATTCTAAGTGTCTGCAATGCAGAGATACTGGTGTTGCCCAGGAATTTGCATTGGCTGCCTTCCCACCTTGTGCATTCCAGGTAGAAGGAAACAACATAACAGTTTGAGGGGGTTGCCTTTGTTGTCAAACATATATCTGAGCTTTGACTTTGCCACTTACTAGCTTTCTAACCTGGGACACATTATTTCACCTCAGTTATTTAAGTGACAGTTATCTGTAAAATGATAGTAGTTTCTATCTCATAGGGTTTTGATGAATAAATGAATTTTATGAAGTGCTTAGCGTAGTATCTGCCCATAGAAATTGCACAATAACTAAGGACACTTACCATCTCTCAGGTGTATTGATGACTCCCAAATCAATCTCTCTCCCTAGTATAGTCCTAGCTGCACACAGGACTTCTACATTGGCAGCCTAAGCTGAACCTCCTCACCTTCACTGTCCCTGCTTTTTCTGGAGTCTTCCTCTTGTTGATCACATCACCTTCCACCCAGTTTCTACACTAAATACCTGGCTGTCATCCTAGACTCTTTCCTTCCCCTCCACTTCTGATCAGTCCACCTGTCCATTCTTTTCCCCTAACATAGAATTCATCCCATTGACTGTCTTTTACCATCACTGCCTTAATTCAGGCTTTCGTCTCTTGTGAATAAAATCATAGTGGTTTCTCTTAAACATAGGCACTTTCTGGACTGCCTACCTGTAGGTGTTTAATTTTTCAGGATGTTTGGCTATAAAAAGCTAAAAAGCTGCTAATAGCAATGTGTTACTTGATTGACTTTTCTTTCCTATGTGGTTTTGGTTTCACTACTTCCTCTTTTTGTATGCTTTTATCTGTGTCCTGTGTACCTTAGTAAAATTGGCAGTTTATGTCTGCAAGACTTATCTTGCACAGCTGTTCAGGGTAAGGAGAGGAAGTTGAACAAGGAAGAAGATAGTAGTAGGAGCAGCAGGGGGATGGCTCTGCCAAATGACTCAGCTGCTAGTGAGGGCCTCTGAAATAAAGTTATTGGTTCTTACTGCTTTGAAGAGTAAAGTTTGCTTTGATGCCTTACCCTTCATTGTGTGAGGGTTGAAAAAGATTGTTTGAAACTACTGAAATAATATCCACATAAAATGTCCATGTTAGTAAGGACTGTTCTAAGTGGTTGTTTGGTTAAGCAAAAACCTTAAGGGGGTGTAGGTGTAATTTGAATGCAGAATGTTCCAGGAAGATCAGTGTGGAAAGTGGACCTAGTAGCAGAATTGCTAGATAACAACTAAGGATGGGAAGTGGGGGAAGCACATGGGAGGGTTCCCCAGCTTCTGCCATTCTCTGTGGATTAAATTTTGGAGAGTATAGTAACAGCTGAAAAAGCAATGGAAATGTTCTAATTTTTCTTGGGTTATTCAAATCATGATTATTTGGAAAACCGTGTGTGGTTTTTTAAAACTGATGTGGGTAACTTTGTCAGCTTTTATTTTTATTAGAAACCAGAACATAAATGTAATTTCAACTGTCATAGGCCCTAGATCAGCGGAAGAAATTGCCTTTTTTTTTTTTTTTTTTTGGTATGAAATAATAAATGCTTCATGGGATACAGGGAGTTGAAAGAGTTGAGAAGGGTATTTAGTGTCATTCTTGAGTTTATAAATTAGAATTCCACCTATTCTGGATGAGGCTTTTTATGGCCAGGATTACCTTCAGGAAACATGGATGTGGAATGGCACCATATCATTGGCTTTTATTTTTAGGGTTGTTGTTGGAAGAGGAGGATGTGTCTTTCAGTTAACTTTTCCCCGTTGTCATTGTTACATATTTATGTTTGAAAATTCCTTTTTAATGGAGCATTTTCATATTTCATAGCTTTACTTTATAATACTTGAGATGTTTTTTCCTATTTATAATTGTGTTGATGCTTCTTCAAGGAAGAAATACGTACTTGACATTAAAGATAACACAGATAGGGACATATGTTACTAGTGAATGGAATAGTTTAAAATACCTGAATATCTTTTTTCCATTCATCAATATTACATGTAAGCTAGTTAAAATAAATGTTGACTGATTTATAGGTATTTTCTTGATCAGATTATACACATCATATTGAAGCCAGTATACTCAGACTTGAAAGAATAAGAATGAATTTGCAAAATCTGGTTTAATTAAGATCTGGGGAGGGGAGCACATTGTGAAAATACATATGCACAGGAACCGAATCAATGCTAGACAAACAATGTATTAGTTTACAATATAATAGGATAACTACAAGTTTGAAGGCTCAAATTGAGTCCATCAGCTGTAAATACAATTTTATATTTGGCTCAAGTGGCTGTTGAATATCAAATGGTGCTGAGTTCCTCCAAAGCACCTAATGACCCCCTCAGCCTTGGAAGGAGTTTCACCACAGTCTCGGAAGAAATCCCAGTCGTGCCTTTAACTCTTTTGGCCCTTGGGAGTCATTGCAACCCCAATACAAATGCCGGCCAGGGATTTCCAGTGGCCACAAGTTATTGCACAGAGAGGTCTGTTCTAAGCCAGACTCTTACAGCTAAGGAGGTGTGAGATTAGCCCTTAAATAGTGGTCTAGCATTAGCATGGTCTATAAAAGCATGTTAAGAAATAGCTCCTCAGTGATTATGTACCAGCTACTAGTTATCTTACTAAGAGA